ACTGGACAGTTGTAGTCCTGGAGTGGCACTGTAGGATAAGCACCGAACAACAAGGTTGGTTTGAACCTGCACTTCTTCCAAAACAGATCTATTGGTTCTTTAGGCATACGCAGTTCAAACTCACCTGTTGCTCCTCAGAAACCCTATGCAGGGTCATTGTGAGTCGGAACCGAATGGAAAGTACTGAACAACAACACTGGGTAATGACATCTTTTATATGACATAAAGGGGACCCTCAGTTCCTTGCAATCTTATCCCATACCAGAATGTTACAAACTGTACCAGACCAACATTTGCCAATCTCCTTGGACCATGAGAGTTTGGGCACCTTTCTCCAGTTCAGTGAGATAAATAAACTTTTTAATTCAAGTATTAACTACACTGCCTATCCCTGGACACTTGTGAGCCACAGCAGACATAGTTCAGTAACAAATCAACACTCCCCTCCATGTGAGATTCTTCATCTTTTTGTGAGAACAAGTTCTTTTTCCCGAAATTAAAGTAGATTTAAGAAATGAGATCTCTACTGACCTTTGAAGTAAATACTCTTTGTGAGTGTGCAATAGAATACAAGTACTGATGAATTACAAGAATAAGTGGGGTTATTCTGAGTTGGGACAGGTATCCCTAAAATAGCCTAAACCGAGACAGATTACACATTGCTTTCCCCTGCACCAAAATAAGCAGTTAAAAATGAGTGCAAGGGATCTTCAATGGAAGCATTAAGGAGGAACTAACAAAGGGAATTTATGTCTTGGAGGAAATGTGGTGAAGTAGCAAGGCCACTTTTAGTCTCTAATTCAACAAGTCTACATTGAGTAACTAGGAGCTCTGGTAGCGTAGTGGTTACGAATCGGGCTGCGAACCTTAAGGTCAGCAGTTCGAAACTACCAGCTGCTCCGCGGGAGAAAGATGAGGCTTTCTACTCCCGTAAAGATTTACACCCTCGGAAACCCTGTACAGGGTCGCTATGGGTCGGACCCGACTCGATGGCACTTAACAACAACAACAACAACATTGAGTAACTATTTTTCACCAGCCAGTGAGCTAGGAGCTGGGCCTATGTTGTCTGATTGAAAGTATATTAGTGTCTGTGCAGCCATCTTCTCCCCTGACACTGTTCAACATATTACTTAGAGAGCACATAATCTTCCCTCTACCTTCTCTGAGACCTAAATTCTCTCCCCATTTCCCAAGAGATTCTTTCAGTTCTAAAGACTGTCAAAAGTATGGTTTTACAAATGACTGTGTCCTGGCAAACTTCTTTTCTGATCCAGTCGTCTTTGATCTTCAACAATAATTATTTTAAGTCCTCTTTGTTTTTGTCTAGCAAAGTTATGCCATCTGCATCTTGCAGATAATTAATGAGTCTTCCTCTGGTCCTGATGCCATGCTCTTTTTAATAAAATCCAGCTTCTTGGATTATTTGCTCAGCATACAGATTGAATAAATATGGTGAAAAAATGTAACCCTGGCATACACCTTTCCTGATTTTGAACCATTCAGTATCCCCTTGTTCTGTTCAAACAACT